AATGAAATAATAGTTCAAATAAACAATGAATTAATTAATATTTCTGAAAAAAACTATTGGTTATATTGTTGTATTTTTATGTGAATTTAGTATTAATTTCGTTTCAAACGAACTAATAGTTAAAAAAAACAACAACAAATGAACTAATGGAAATTAAAAATATGTTTGTGACTTGTATGAGATTCTGTATTTTTATGATCAATTTAGTATACATTTCAAATTAAATGAACTAATAGTTCAAATAAACAACGAATTAATTAATATTTCTGAAAAAAACTATTGTTTGAATTGTCGTATTTTTATGTGAATTTAGTATTAATTTCGTTTCAAACGAACTAATAGTTAAAAAAAACAACAACAAATGAACTAACGGAAATTAAAAATATGTTTATGACTTGTATGAGTTGCTGTATTTTTATGATCAATTTAGTATACATTTCAAATTAAATGAACTTATAGTTCAAATAAACAACAAATGAATTGATAGTCTGAAAAAGCTATTGTTTATATTGTTGTATTTTTATGTGAATTTAGTATTAATTTCATTTCAAACGAACTAATAGTTCAAAGAAACAAGAACAATTGAACTAACGGAAATTAAAAATATGTTTGTGACTTGTATGAGTTGCTGTATTTTTATAATCAATTTAGTATAAATTTAAAATTAAATGAACTAATAGTTCAAATAAACAACGAATGAAAAAGCTATTGTTATATTTTTATGTGAATTTAGTATTAATTTCGTTTCAAACAAACTAATAGTTCAAAAAAACAACAACAATTGAACTAAACGCTAATGAGAAGTACTTTGAAATGATTTACAAATATACTATTTTAATTGCACGAATTCTCGTGTTTTCAGCTGAATTTAATGTTTCGTTTCAAAATTTGATTACATAAAGCACGTAAAATGCACGATTTTATCTAGATTCGAGCAGAACGTTAAAGTGTAAATAACAAAGTTAAAGAAACTAACGAAATTCTTTTAAAAGCTTATAACGCAGAGTGCCGTAAAATTGAAGAAAGGAAAGACAAAAACAAACAAAAAAAGAAAAGGACGGCACTAGACTAGACGAGAGAGGCGAAAGAATGAGAGCTAAATAGTAAACATTGTTTTGTAAAGTAGTCGACGATAAATCGGAGTTGGCTCGTGACCAAAAAGGGAACAATTCCGGGTGCATGGTTTCCATAAATTATCCACTTCGACAACATTTTTTTTTTTAAATAAAATACAGATAGAAACAAACTGTAACAAATTTTCCCCTCTTGCGTTATTCATCATGATGATTCAGAGTTTACGTCGTCTGCTTAACGATGCAATAAAAACTCAGGGTTTCCTTTTTGTTAATAATAAACGCGCTCTGTTTACAACGCGCGGATTTTCTACTCAAATTCGTCGGTGGAATTGCGAAATTTTCTTGGCACTCGAAAATCTGCTTCTATTCAATTCACTGTAATTCATCAATATTTCAACTGTTTGAAACAGTTTACTATAATTTTATTCAATTCATTGCTTACTTAATCTTACTAATATTTCTTTAATTCTTCTTGTAACTATGTTGCAAATATGATTTTAATCTCTATAGTTTTAGCTATGATTTGAGAGTTGATGCAGTGAGATTTTCTGTTTGGTTTTAGAGAAATACGTTGAAATATGATACTTGAAAATAATTGAATAACGTTGTTGATTCATCGAATCAAGTGTCAGGTTTGTTCTAAAAAAAAATTAAAAAAAAAAAGAGAAGAGTGCGTATTGAATATTACATAAAGCGAAATCAATCCGCCAGATGGCATGCACGTATCGTGTATCGATTGTTTCTCGGAAATCGATGATGATGATGGCTCACGGACAGGAAACGGAAACGCGTCCGTCGATACAAAACGGACTGCATTGCATACACACACACAGAGAACACCTGATACAAACAAAACGAAACAGAAAGTCCGAAAATAGCGAATCCAAAAGCAGAGTTTCCGATCATCGTTGCAAAATTTATGTATCGTGTCGTCCTTGCGTATTCACGTATTCCGAGTTTACGACTCTCGCATGAGAAATCTATTAAGGATTTAATGGGTTTCCAGGTATTGCGATGAACGTTAGTTAGTTAGTTCTCGTTCCATCGGCGACGCGATCGAATTTTGTGATGTAAACAAAAGTCAACTGTTTTTGAACTACTCCAATTATCAGTAGTCGCAAGCATATTTGCATTTTGCAAATGTTTTTATTTCTATGAATATGTATTGAGAACGTTCAGTTTTCAACGCAATTCGATCATAAATATTGTAGTGTTTTAGTAAACAGCAATGAAATCGATCTCACAATGTTAAACATAAGTATTCATAGTTTATTTTAAGGCAATTGAAAATTAATCTGTTTTTAGGATTTATTACAGGAATTGAGTGATTTTTTACATTGTTTAGTAATGATGGGCGAGCGAAGCGAGTCCCGAAATGCAATACAAAATTTAAAAATTTGGTTAGAAACTTATGAAATTATCAATTTTCAGGACTTGCTATCAAAATTTGTGAATTTATATAATGAAATTGATCGGCTGGTCCTGAAAACGATTCTTTTCATCGGTTTCTAAACGTTTTTTTAAAACTTTTGTTGCCTATCAGGACTCGCTTCGCTCGCCCATCAATTTCAGTGCTAATTCTGGGATATAATATAATAAATTATAGTTTATCAAAAATGTCTATTTTTTTTTGATGAAAGGCAATAAAAGTTTCAAGAATTTCGATAAAAAGTTATGAAATTATTTTTTTTCAGTTTTCAAATTTATATTGTGAATTTATAATGGGAATCGAAGCGAGTCTTGAAAACATTTAATTTCCTTGAATTCTAAGCAACTATTTAAAACTTTCACTGCCTTTCAGGACTCGCTTCGCTCGCCCATCATCTTCATTTACAAATACAAAATGGTAATTTATATTTCGTTTCAATCAAAAAATCTAATTTTTAAAACTTCAAATTTAACCACGAAATTCAGTGCTAATTCTGGGATATAATACAATAATAGTTTATCCAAAAAGTCTATTTTTTTTATGGGAGAGCGAAGCGAGTCCTGAAAGGCAATACAAGTTTTAAGAATTTCGATAAAAAGTTATGAAATTATTTCAAACTTATTTTGTGAATTTATAATGGAATTAATGGCCAAGCGAAGCAATTCTTTAAAACTTTCACTGCCTTTCAGGACTCGCTTCGCTCGCCCATCATCTACATTTACAAATGCAAAAGGGTAATCAATATATTTCGTTTCATTCAAAAAATCTAATTTTTAAAAGTTCAAATTTAACCACGAAATTCATGAAAACTATTAATAACTGATTTGCAAACTCACATTTATATTATTCTCTATAGTTTCAAGTTTAATTTAAATATTAATATATAGCTATTTTTCTGTGACTAATGGTGTTAGTCACAGAAAAATATCAAAAAATTTAGACACACTACATTCAAAATTTTCTAAAATCAATTAATTAAAAATTCGATAGGAAATTACACAAAAATAATGTAATTAATTCATATAAATAAATTAAAATAATTATATCCACTAAAGGCAATACAAAATTTAAGAATTTCGTTAGAAATTTATGAAATTATTAATTTTCAGGACTTGCTATCAAAATTTGTGAATTTATATAATCGGCTATCGATGCTTTTTCTATTCTTTTCCTTGGTTTCTAAACAATTTTTTAAGACTTTCCTTGCCTTTCAGGACTCGCCTCGCTCGCCCATCAATTTCAGTGCTAATTCTGGGATATAATACAATAAATTATAGTTTATCCAAGAAATCTAATTCTTTTTGATGGGCGAGCGAAGCGAGTCCTGAAAGGCAATAAAAGTTTTAAGAATTTCGATAAAAAGTTATGAAATTATTTTTTTCAGTTTTCAAACTTATTTTGTGAATTTATAATGGAATTGATGGCCAAGCGAAGCAATTCTTTAAAACTTGTTCATTTACAAATACAAAATGGTAATTTATATTTCGTTTCAATCAAAAAATCTAATTTTTAAAAGTTCAAATTCATGAAAACTATTAATAACTGATTTGCAAACATACATTTATATTATTCTCTATAGTTTCAAGTTCAATTTAAGTATTAATATATAGCTATAACACCGTTAGTCACAGAAAAATATCAAAAAATGTAGACACACTACATTCAAAATTTTCTAAAATCAATTAATTAAAAATTCGATAGAAAATTACACGAAAATAATGTAATTAATTCATATAAATAAATTATAATAATTATATCCACGAATTAACAAAGATTTCAATCAATTTCCATGTAAACCCGGCGCATGCACCAAAAAATATTAGCATGTAAACTTCTATAAAAAACAACATTTCGCCCCATAAAACCCGCAATAACCCTTTGCTAACTACATATTATATTACCATAGTAACGTAATCATATAACAACTCTCAAAGTTTGAACTAGAGGTCGTTGCTTTTGATTATAGCCAATAAATAATTTTGTAATGTGAAAACGACCAATCGAATCATCCCCATTATTACGATGCAATTGTTTTATTGGCAATTAAAATCCACATAATTCTTCCACTTTAATTGCAAAAAATATTTTTTTTCTATAAATTAGACAGAAAATGAGTAATTAAGATTGTAATAAGTATTAGATTAAGTTCTGGCGACGATTCAAAATTCATCAAGTAAAGTGGATGAAACTTGTCGTGGAATTTCTAACCTAATAACGGTTTATAATTTAAGACGCGCAGGGTTAATTTCATAATGGATTATCTTAATTAATTTTTGCTGCGTGACACGCAACTTCTCTTACAGCCTAATTGACATTTCTATTATGCTTTATTTATCAAGTAAGTTTTCATTAATTACTAATTAGTTAATTGTTTAGTTGTAGTTTCAAGTTTCTTACTGATGATGAGTTGACTTTATGATGTAATATTTTTTCAGATAAAAGTTTAGTGGATTAAAAACTTATTGCAATTTACTTCAATATAAATTGTAATAAAATTACAGTAAAATGTATGTTTGGTTGCTTACCTTTGCAAAGGAGAAGGTTTCCCTATCCAGCGAAGTCTCACGCCTGGGTACGCGCTCCAGGGATCCGTGCTTCGATGCAACGATGGTATCCAAGGAGACCTCGCGCATGTGGGGCGGCGACGGGGGCGGCGGCATATCATCTTCGGCGTAACGGGATTTCTGCAACCAAAGCAGCTTCGAATCAATTTCCTCACGCAAACAACAAAATAAACATATCCAAACCGACAAATCAAAAGCAATTTACAGAGGACGCCACCATTCACACGCTTTTACATATGCAACCAGATTCTGTACGTATGTTCATGCGGTTGCTTTGTTCCATGCATGCACACGATTTTAAATTAATTTATGAGAGACAAAGAAATTTCATAACCTCAATCAATATCCGTCAATGACATTGAGCTGTTATTACCAATATTTAAACATGAAAATAACTAAAAATAGAATTGTCAAACTTAAATTATCAACAGTTTAAAGTGTAAAAAATAATGGACAAATTTATATTTCTCCGGCTACTTGTCAGAATGTTTGATGTGCGTATTTCGTTGGCTGCATTTCTTGACGTCGGGCGATTCGCCAAGAAAACGTTACTACGTATTTTTTTTACCCATTGTGAATGGGACTCCCTAATGAGGTTGCGTCCGCGCCAGCAGCTTTCTTACATTTTTTTTCTGTACTTAGGTAATTAGGCAATTCAACAACGTAACAAAAAAAAATGTAACTAATAGTAGGAAATACAAATTAAATCATATAACCGTTATAATCCTATTAGTTTCTATAAAAAAAATATCAATTAGTTAAGTGTATTATTTCATGTGGTTTTGCTATTGAGATGTCATTTTAGTTCCAAATTGTAGGACAATAGATGGCGCTGTAATTACGTCAAATTTTTGTTTTTCGAGCGTCATTTTAGATTGCATAACAGATGGCGTTTCTTGAAGGACAAACCTGAACGTCTGTCCAACAGCAGGAGCAGTTCGAGGAGTGCGGCTGATTCGAGTCGTGTGGGCCGTTCTGCTGTGCCCGTCTCTGCTTGCGTCTCTTTCGCGCCTTGTTGGGAACGCCGTACATGTAATTGGAGAATCGGCGACGCGAATGCCGCACAATCGAAACCCAATCGATCATTTCGTGCGGTTGGGAAACACTGGTTTAAGTTTTTTTTTTAAACTTGGTCACGCTTCGCGCATTCTCGAGTGGTGAAGCACTCGCATGCACATGCCTAAAAGAACACGACCAATAGGAAAAACTATGAGAGAGAGAGAAAAGTTTATGGATGATTGTAAGAAAGAGAGAGAGAGAGTTGAAACTTAGAGCAAGCCATGATGAGGCCAGAAGATACACGAACAAAAGAACTCGAGTTTGGTGGGATGCGAGGGGTTAGGGATGGAAGAGGAGGAGAAAAAGGAAAAAGAAGAACATAATGTAACCTACATAATTTTCGCGGCCGTCCTGCTCCTTTTTTTTTTTTTATTTGTCGATCGATGCAGGACGGAGGAACTTACATATGTAATTTTCCTCAGAAATGAGTTTAAAATGAGATATGTTCTGTCAGCAAACAAACAAGAGAAAGAAAAACAAAATGAAAATAAAAAAATGTGCTTTGGAAAAACAATTGCGAGTTTTATGAAACAATGGATGGAAAATAATTGCTTCTATGCAAATACAATTGTTATTAAACGTACAAATATAGTCATAAATGTTTACATAATGTAGTGGCAACTATTATTTCTATACATAACAATTATTTGTAAATAAAAAATGTTCACTAATTTTGTTTCCAAATAACAAAAAAAATAGTAATTATTGATTTTTTTTAAAACTTTAATTAGTAAGCTAAGAGATTCACAAATTCTTTGTTTTTTTAACGTTTAAGTTGAAATAAAATATGTTTGTTACGTAATTTGTTGTTACGTATTCTCTGCATTAAATTTTCAATAAATTATTGTGTAAAAGTAAAGTGAATTGGAAATTAAATTGGAAATATGTGTTACGTGAATGCATAAATATTTACAATCTGCAGCCAATATCGACTTGTTACTTAATACGTGCACAGTTTATACTGCTGAAAAGTGCTTTGTTTATTTCAATAATCGTCGAGTGTTGTAAGAGAAGAGATTTTAAAAATTGAAAAAGTTGATTTTTTTAGTTTTGTTGATGAAAAAGTCTTCAGAAATGTTATGAAACTATAGATGAAAGTTTGTAATTATAATTGAGATTACGTGATGTGAATAACATATGAAATATGTACTTTTCAGTATGTACTCAAGTAGTAAAAAAATAAGTGTAGAAAAGTTTTGTTTTATCTAGAAAAGTTTAGAGAGATAAAATTTAAATATTTTTTGGCTGAATTTGTTAATAAAAAATGTTACATAAGTTAAAGTTTACTATAGATTCTATTTGCTGTAAGCTATAAATCGATTTTTCTTATGTTTTTATTTTATTCTTATATTGGAAGAAGTTGAAAAGTGAAGAGATGAAGATGTTTGCGTTTGCAAGAAAGGTTGTTGAAGCTGGAAATAAATTTGCGTAGGTTCGTGTTTTCGGGATTGTCGAAGGGTGGAAAGGATTATTGGATTAGGAGTGAGAGAGAGACAGAGGAAAGGACCCTCGAGAATCCGGGGATTCGAAGGACACACGAGGAGAGCTCGAAGAAAGAATTGATTCGATTGGCTCGTCAATTAAACCAGAAGGTTCTAACATGTTTTTGAATCAAAAAAATTAAAGCTTTACATAGATAAAAATAAAGTGTATTCAAACCCAGAGACAACAACGCGTTTTCCGTTAAACTGCCAGGGAGATCAAGTAGGCGCGCACACTCTGCTTTATTATGAACAAATGAAGGGATGTTTTCGCGTTTGTTTTTCCGATTCGGTTCTTTCTCTCTCGCTTTTTGGATGATTTCTAGTGTGAAAGATAGAGAAAGAGATATAACGGTTTTTTCGAGAGGTTGAACGTAACGCGTGGTCGGCACTGCACTAGCGGCGATGTGGGCAGGCGCCTCGCGTCGCGACGCCGGATTTTCGTCCCGCTCGTCCCTGCGACTGCCGTGAGCTCTAGTTTCTGGCGATGCCGTCGAGCGACGCCCCGAGACCAAAATACAACAAAAAATATACACATACACACACACAAACACATTGGACTCGGTAGAAATTAAAATTTAAAAAAACATAAGGAAGAAAAGGGACCGTGAAAACTTGTTGTCCGCACAACAAAAGAGTAGAAAAATTATTACTGCATTTTGGAGATGAAAAATGAAGACAATGAAATTCGGAAAAAAACAAAATGTTCCTCTTTTCCATTAAGCCTCATTCCCATTCGTATTTTCATAGTAATTATTCAAGCATAGTTTCAGCATCAATTTGCGTATTCATATATAAACTGTGGATTTAAACACTGAATTTGATGACAAATTACAAGAAAATTGTTGATAGTACACTTGCACAATTATTAATTAGATTATCAGTCTTTATACGAGTCTTCAACTATGTCTATAACTATCGTAGAATTAGAGCATTTCAATAAAAAGTAAGCGCTTATTTGTTTCAAGTTCTACCAACTTTGACATTAAATTGCAGAAAAACTATTAGTGTCACAAATATGAAATTATACTCATTTTATTCTGTTGGGTTTTCTCCTTTTATAAGATTCCACAATAATAGCTGTGACTAACATAGTTTTAGAGTAATTCAATAAAAAGTAAATATGCTTTTTTTATATTCGCTACTCTTGAAATTTTCTGTCTGTTAAAGAGTGTAGATAATTTTGAACTCTACAGGAACGCTAATTTTGTTATTTATGACGCTACTGTTGTTGCGAAGGACGCTATTGTTGTTTTTAATGACGCTAATCTTGTTAATAAGGATTCTATTGTTGTTGTTAAGGACGCTACTCTTGTTAATAATGATTCTACTGTTGTTGTTAAGGACGCTACTCGTGTTGCTAAAGACGCTAAGGATGCTTGTTTATAATGATTCTATTGTTGTTGTTAAGAAATCTACTCTTGTTAATGATGATTCTATTGTTGTGGTTAAGGACGCTACTCTTGTTAATGATGATTCTATTGTTGTTGCTAAGGACGCTATCTGTTGTTGTTAAGGACGCTATTGTTGTTGTAATTATTCTATTGTTGTTGCTAAGGACGCTACTCTTGTTAATAATGATTCTATTGTTGTTGTTAAGGACGCTACTCTTGTTAATAATGATTCTATTGTTGTTGTTAAGGACGCTACTCGTGTTGCTAAAGACGCTAAGGACGCTTGTTTATAATGATTCTATTGATGTTGTTAAGGACGCTACTTTTGTTAATAATGATTCTACTGTTGTTGTTAAGGACGTTACTTTTGTTAATAATGATTCTATTGTTGTTGTTAAGGACGCTACTCGTGTTGCTAAAGACGCTACTTTTATTGTTTATA